TGTGACCGCTTACCATTTAAACCCACACATCACCTAATGCTTTGCCTATAAAGAGACAACATTGTCAACACGAGATTTCCATGTTAAATGCAGTTACAGACGCTGTTCTTTCTAATTATTACACCTTAATGCCACTGCAGCTTATGAATACTTAATTGTATCCAACTAGCACAAATACACTGAGAACAAAGAGCATTCAATTGTTGCTATGCTGTATTTTCTTTCCTTACAGAAGTAAATGTTCCTTGTGCTCTGGACAGTATACCCAAATAGTCTGAGTGATGTAAAAAGCAATCAGGTCTTAGGCAGGACAAGTAACATGAGCTAACAGTAGTATTTGGACAGTACTTTAGAGTTTACAAAAATTTTCATACCCCTACTACATTTCTTTAGCTAGAAAACTGCAGCTCAGTTCCAACTTCAGTCTTTTAATCATTACTAGGGCCCAGGGTGGTACAGTGGTTAAGTGCTTGGCTGCTAACCAAAAGGTCAGCGGTTTTAAAGATTAGACAGGCCCATAAAACAAAACAAGACTAAATGGGCACAGGAGCCTAGGGGCAGGAACAAAACGGCAGGACGGGACAGGAAAGCGGGTAATGGGGAACCCAAGGTCAAGAAGGGGAGAGTGTTGATAGGTCATGGGGTTGGCAACCAATGTTACAAAACAATATGTGAAGTAATTATTTAATGAGAAACTAATTTGTTCTGTAAATTACATCTAAAGTACAAAAAAAAGAAAAAAAAAAAGATTGGCGGTTCAAACCTGCCAGCGGCTCCACAGGAGAAAGATGTGGCAATCTGCTCCTGTAAAGACTGCGGCCTTGAAAACTCTATGGGGCAGTTCTACTCTGTCCTATAGGGTTGCTATGAGTCAGAATTGACTTGACCACAATGGGTTTGGTTTGGTTTTTTTAGGGCCCAGGGACGAAGCACCACTTTTCAGCCTGTTTCCATGAAATGGGCAGAATGAAAACAATGCACATAATTGTAAACTACCTCAGCTCATTAAGTACATACAAAATAACTGTTATGAAGAGTAAATGAGCTTTAAAAGTGTTAAGCATGATCAATACCTCTTTCTCCCTTAAAAAAATAAATCAAGTCCTGTGACTACCAATCCCAGCTGACTGAATCTCATGACTGTGAGTTGAGCTCTGGGGACATGGGAATAGAGATGCATCCCCTACACACTAGTGGGGGAAACAGTTACAAATTACCATGAAATGTGGAGAATTGTGGCTTAGTAATAAGCAAGTGGGAACTCAGAAAATGTGTCTGATTCTGCCTGAGAGAGAGAGCGGGTGCAGATGCTGATGGTCCTCCATACCCAGAAGAGGGGTGGGGTGTTTGTTAGAGCTGCAGAGAAAATCTGAAAATCAACAGAGTAGATTGCCCACTTTGGGCCTCTGATAAAGGCATCATGTGGCACACGTGGAGTGATTCAATCTGTCCTCCCCATCATAGCAATGGGGAGGGTGCCGGGCAGCTTTTTAAAGTAACCCACAACCTCTGGAAGTACGCTTAAACTTTTAATCAAGTCAGTGTGCATAGCCAGCTTCCAGCTGGATCTCCACTTCCCTTCCTCTCCCAATACCCTGGGCTGGCCAGAAGCATAGGGTGATGGGAACTGTCAGGAACTGCCCCTGGACAGCCAGTCGCATGTGGAGCCCCTGGCTGGCATGGGTCCTGCTTTTCTGCAGGAGACGCTCCTGCACGCCTACTAGGTTGTTACATCCCTGCACTCTCAGATGTTATTGATTTTTCTAACCAGAGGACTCCCTTTAATATTTCTTGTCATTTTGGTTTTTGCAAATTCCCTAAACTTCTGTTTATCTGGAAATACCCTAATTTCACCATCATATTGAGAGACAGTTTTGCTGGATATATAATTCTTGGCTGGCAAATTTTTTCCTTCAAGGCTTTATATATGTCATCCCATTGCCTTCTTGCCTGCATGGTTTCTGCTGAGTAGTCTGAGCTTAGTCTTATTGACTCTCCTTTGTAGATGACTTTCGTTTATCCCTAGCCGCTCTTAAAATTCTTTTTATCTTTGGTTTTGGCAAGTTTGATTATAATATGTCTTGGTGACTTTCTTCTTGGATCTACCTTGTGTGGGAGTCTATGAGCATCTTGGATAGATATCTTGTCATCTTTCACGATATCAGGGAAGTTTTCTGCTGACAAATCTTCAACAGTTCTCTCTATTTTCTGTTATCCTCCCCTGTTCTGGTACTCTAATCACTCGTAGGTTATTTCTCTTGATAGAGTCCCACATAATTGTTAGGGTTTCTTCATTTTTTTTAATTCTTTTATCTGATTTTTCCTCAAATAAGTTGGTGTCAAGTGCTTTATCTTCAATCTCACTAATTCTGACTTCCATTGCCTCAGTTCTGTTCCTATGGCTTTCTATTGAGTTGTCTAATTCTGAAATTTTATTGTTAATCCTCTGGATTTCTGTTTGCTGTCTATGGATGCTTGCAGCCTGTTAAATTTGTCATTATGCTCTTCTCTAATCTTCTTAAGTTCCTCTATTGCTTTGTCTCTGTGTTCCTTGGCTTGTTCTGCATTTTGCATCATCTCCTTCCTGATATCTTGAAGAGTTCTGTATATTAATCTTGTGTATTCTACCTCTGGTAATTCCAAGAAGTCTCTTCCTCTGGAAGGTTTTTTGATTCTTTGTTTTGGGAGCTTGCTGAAGCCATCATGGTCTGTCTGTTTATGTGATTTGATATTGACTGTTGTCTCTGAGCCATCAATAAGTTATTATATTTATTTATTTTATGTTTGCTTACTATGTCCTAGCTTCTTGTTTTGTTTTGTTTTGATATGCCAAAATAGGCTGCTCATGTGAGCTAGTTTGATTATTGGTGCCTTTGAAGCTCTAGTGTCCTGTCACCAGGTGGTTAGATCTGTTAGTGGGTATGTGAGCCTTGGAGTCTGTTTACTTTTCTTGTATGGATTCAGGTGAGGTGTCCAGGTAGTTGGTCACCAAGTGTGTGGTGCAGGCTCTCACCTACAGTCCTAGACAGGCAGGGACGATTGGTGTAGGTGCAGGTATCTGTCTGCAGTAGGGGGTCATGCACTGAGCAAGGCAGGGGGCTGATGGCTGCCCCTGAGTGTCTGGGAGAAAAGTGTGTCCCTGTTCCCTAGAGCGTGTAGGTGGGTGGGTTTTGCAGCCAGACTATGGGCAGCGTCCCTGCACTCTTGATGCCCTCTCCTGCTGCCTGTTGATGTTTGAGGCCTGCTCTTCTCTGTGCAGCATGACAGCTGTGTGCCATGTCTAGTTCTAGCACCATCTATGCCAGGACCAACCTCGACCTGAAGGACTGTCTGGTGGTGGTAGGTGCAGAGTCTGGGACCCTATGTGCGTCTCCTGACACCTAGCCCTTGCTGTGGCTGTAGCCAACTGGGCATTGGCTGTGGGCTTGGCTTGCCTGGAATGTGCTAAGTGGTGCCTTCCAGGTGGCAGACTTCTAAAATCCATTCTGCCTGGATTACTAGCTTGCCTCCCTCAGGTTCCACACTGTGCTTCAAGGCATAAGGCAGCCCTGGGCAGCCACTATGCTGGTCAGGCCAGTGGGGGTCTAGGGAGAGCCAGGATGTGGCAAGGGCAGCTGAGGGCTGTCATTTGCATCAGTGTGCACATCTAGTTGCTGGGCCTGGAGTCATACCCGTATTTCTTTTCTGGGCTGGCCACTGCCCAGAGGAGCAGCTTCTTAGTGTTCTCCAACCTCGCCGCCATTACAACTAAACCCACCTTCTTTCCTGGACATTGGAGGACAAGGGGCATGGAGGTCCATTCAGGCTGGGGGACCATCCAAAGTAGAGGGAGGGGCATCTTCTCAGGTGGGATGTGCAAGGGAAGAAATACAGGAATTGCCTCTTTTTGCTGGAGTCCCCAACTCCAGACTAGCAGGTAGGAGAGTCAGCATTGTTTGGATGCCATGGGGTTGAGTCCCTGGGAGATGGGGTTGAGTCTCTGGAAATTGTGGGGACTGTCCCTAACCTCAGCCTCTGCACATAACCCGCAGAACAAGTCTGGAACAGGCAGGGGTGATGTCCATAGTGGGTGAGTTTCTACCAGTGTCAGACAGGGCATGGGATTCAAGCAAGGCCCTGGACAAGTCACTGGTCTTTGCTGGGCCTTCCCGCTTAAGCTCCAGCCTCCTGGGATACTTCTGGTTCAAAACAGCAGTGGTGGTCTCAACCTACTCCACCCACAGCCAGGACTAGGGTGAGGCTAGTGAGAAACCTAAGGCACAAAATTTAAGGAGGCACTTATTCTTGGGGTCGTGCAAGCGCACGCTAGTACCAGCATAACAGAGTGAGCCTCTGCCTCTGGGTCCTCCCTTCACTTCCACTTGAAGACTTAAACTCCCAGAGAGCAGAGACTGCTAATCCCCAATCTGCTAATCCCTCCCCTCCTTCCCTGTGCCTGGGCAATCAGTGCTTAGCTCACAGATGTTGTGCGCTGCCCAGTGGATAGTGACCCTGCAGGACAAAGTAGAACTGCCCCATTGGGTTTCCAAGGGTTGCTATGAGTCGGAATCGACTCAACGGCAACGGGTTTGGTTTGGTTTAATCTTTAAAGGAACAGATCACCAGGTCTTTTCTCCCTAAGCGGCTAGTGAGTTTGAACTGCCAACTTTGCGGTTAGCAGCCGAGTGCTTAACCATGCTCCTTGGGCTCACAGTAGGAGCTCGATAAACATTTGTAAGTGGAGGAGCCTTGGCTTTCTTTGCTCTGCGAAAAATGACCTAGGCTGGGAAGGGTGCGTTCCTGTGTGCCACATGATCTAGCCAAGTTTGGTTTGCCCAGTATCTGGACTTCTAACCAGCTAGAGGGAGAACCCAATTCCCGCAAAGATTCAGAAAGTCTTGAGTTGGAAGGCGCGTTTAGTGTCACGCCTTCGTTTTACATGTGGGACAGGGTCAAGGCTACATAGCAAGTTCTTCGACCAAGTGCCCTAATCAGGGAAAACCTCCAAAGCAACTCCCAGGTGTACATCGAGTGCATCGACGTTCTACCTACCTGGACTGGAACAACGAGCAGATTCATTCCATTGCTTTTGTCTGCCAGTAAGCGCTGAGCGCTAATTGGTCCTGGCTTAGGAAACGGAAAGAAGGCAAGCACATTACATAGCGCGCACCGCGGTAGGAAAGAGTCTTAGGAGAGACGGGCCATGGCGTCGTTCAGTTGCAGAACCATCGTCTGCGTGGTCTGCTTGGAAAAGCCCAAATACCGCTGTCCGGCCTGCCGTGTGCCCTAGTGAGTGTTGGGCCCGGGCAGGAGGCCGGGGCGCCAGGTCGGGCAGAGGGGAGGCCAGAGGGCGGCGAGAGGGTCCGCGCAGTCTGCGGGGCTGACACGGCCTGTGGTTTCTGTTACAGCTGTTCGGTGACCTGCTTCCGGAAGCACAAAGGTAAGGCCTGGGCGCCCCCTGCTCGCGTGGGGCAACCGCCACGTTCCGCTCCACGGACGTCTCGGGGACGTGGACCTCTCAGGCTTCGCGCTCCTGATCCTGTTGGAGCCCCTTTCTTGTCGCCGGTCTCCCTTCCATCTGCGCGGGAACCTTCCTCCCTCGGGCTTCGTCTCTGGTGTCCTGAACCTTTCTCTTTCTGTAGGTCCTTCACCTTTATGTGGAAATGCTTCTCCGAACTGTAAACAATAAAAAAACAAAAACAAAAACAAAAAAACCCCTCTCCTATTCTGCCTTTCTTTCCACGTGCCACTCTCTTTTGCTCCTTCGAACAGTTGACTGCTTCCGACTTTCATCTTAGCATTCTGGCATAGCCCCTCACCATTTGGCAGAAGTGTTACCAGGTGTACTTCCTTCCCCTTAAATAATGGAGCATTTTTAAAAGAAACCGTATAGCTGAAGATAGAAAAGGAATGGCTCTTCCCCGCTGTAAACAGTGTTGGAGATTTGAGGTTCCTCCAGGAATCAGGAATCCCTGCTGCTGCCAGGCCTGATTTTTCTAGAAATGCACATTTGAGCATTTTATTCCCCTATTGAAAACTGCATAATTCCCTAGCATCTACAGCAGAGGAGTAGTTATTCTGAGTATTGCTCTCTCTAGGGGACTTTTAGGAGCCCTGGTGGTACAGTGGTTAAAGTGCCTGACTGCTAACGGAAAGGTCAGCGGTTCGAACCCACCAGCAGCTCCGCAGGAGAAAGATGTGGCAGTCTGCTTCCGTAAAGATTACAGCTTTGGAAACCCTATGGGGCAGTTCTGCTCTATCCTATAGGGTCACCATGAGTTGGAATTGACTCGACAGCAGTGGGTTTAGGGGACATTTGTTGTCACAGTAGCTGAGGGGGAGTTGGTGGTACTACAGATAATTGGTGGGGGTGGTCAAGTAAACATCCTGTAGGACAGCATGGGGACTGTCCTACACCACTAAAGACCTTCCCACCCTGGATACCAGTAGCACCTTTTTGAGAGACATTCTCTTGCTCTGGCTTCCTCCTCTTGTGCCCCTGCCACCTGCCAGGCCTGTCCTATGAGTTACCTGACAGTTCCTTATCCCTGTCTCCCGTACTTGACCCTAGTCTTTCAAGTGTCTGGTCGTAGACTTTTCTCTCTGCCTGGGATGCTGCTTTATCTACCTGGCAAAGATACTTCCCCCAAGAATCCTCTTGGTCTTGTCTCCTGACCCTCTCAGATGGATTTAGACCAGACCCTTCTTACCTTATCCGTATCTCTAGCTGTCGTTTGTGATATAGTTGTTTGTTTACTTACTGCTGCTCTGTAATACTAAACCCCTTTCAGGATGGCCTGGTGAGTTTTTCCCCTGCAAATTTAGTGTCTGAAACTCCTGAGAAAATTAAACTCAGTATGCTCCTTAATCCTGGTGAAAGTCCTGTGAGATTAGGTAGGGCAGGAAGGACAGGAACAGGCCCTTGGGGGTGCATGAGCTCTGCTTCCTCAGCTCTACTGCCAGGTGCAGGGTTGCTTGTGGTTTTCCTTACACTGATCTCTCAGTTCCTCCGCATTCATCTCCACCCCACCTACATCCCTTACTCAATATGTATGCTTTCCCACCTAGAAGCTGGCTTTGGGGGCTGGAGGGCAGGGGCAGCCTTGTTACTGAAATGGAAGTGGTGTGTACCTGAGATTTGTGTCTCTTTCAGAGCAGTGCAACCCTGAAACTCATCCTGTAAAGAAAAAAAGTTCATCTCTTCCTATAAAAACTACAAAGCCTGTGGAAGACAAAGGTGGGCTGGTTGATTTAAAAACAAACGAACCAACCTAGAAAGGGCTTTCAAATAGAAGAAGTTGAAGGGAAAGAAAAGAGACTTGGCCTGGGGTGAGAGTCAAGAACTACAGGCTTCATCACGGGCAGTAGCTTCCTTAGCCTGAGCAGCAGGAGTGAGGACACACATTGTCATGGGTGGCATCGATAGGGCAGCCTGAAGGCATCGTTCACGGAAAGAAAAATTGGGGCAGGGAACTGAGAGTAAAAAGGCCATGGCAGAGGTTTGGTGTGGAGTGGGCCCTGCTGACCTTTTCTTGCTGTGACATCTGGTCTCTCTAAATGGCCCTGGCTGGGGCTGACAGTTCACCTGAGCGAGACTCCAGGTAGGAAGCTTCCTTTGACCCAGTTGACCTTGCTGCTGCTGGCAGCTCCTCACAGCTCATAGTATGGGCTGTCATTCTGTCCATCTCTCCAAACTTTAATACCTCCTGAGTATCATGCACCACGCCAGGCTCTGAAAGCAGTCCCTTCCAGTGCTAGCAAAATAGTAGTGAAGATTCACGGCAAAGGGATGGGCCATTTTTGCCCTTTGAGAAACTTCCAGATTCAGTTCAGGCAGTCCCAAGCAATTTTTGCAAGTGCTGAAAGCAGAGAGGATTTACTTTAGCAGGTTTTTATAGAGCACCAAGTTTTTGGCCCATGACAGTGTTGGAACCATGGTGTTGGGAGGTGGAGTGTTAAGAATTAGAAAATCAGGCTCCAAGCTCGAAGACCACAGAACAGAGTGTGTGAACACTAGGATGCATTTATTAACTTATTACTACCAGTTCTGCTGTCTTCCACTTTCCTAACAGGAGTGTGAATATGGCCACAAGTGCCAGAGAAGAAAGGGTGTTTGTTTTGTTTAAACTTACTATATACCCCTTCATGTGTGTGTGCACATACATTTGTAATCTATTGGAGTAGTTTTAAAAAGCTGATGCCTAGGCTTTCTTTCCAGTCATAAGCAGTTGACTGTGTTGTTTATTTTTTTTCCTTAGATGATGAGTCATCTATAGCTGATTTTCTCAATAGTGATGAGGAAGAGGACAGAGTTTCCCTGCAGAATTTAAAAAATCTAGGTAGGTCTGTGCTATGCTTGTTTATTTCTTTGTCAACCTTAAAAAAAAAAAGTTACTTTGTTGTATTTTTGGTGAAGATTTACACAGCAGTTTAGGTTTCCATTCAACAATTTCTACACAAATTGTTCAGTGATGTTGGTTACATTCTTCACAATGCATGGACATTCTCAGTGGTTACTTTCTGGTTGTTCCATTTCCATTAATCTAGTTTTCCTGCCCCCTTACATTTTCATTTTTGTTGTAAAGTAATTTTTGACCATTTGGTTGCATATAGATGATTTTTTAAAGGCACACAGTACTCAAGGGTGGTATTCTTTTTTTGTGAGCCAATGTGTTATTCAGCTAAAAGGTGACATTGGGAGCTAGTTTCATTTCAAGGTTTAAAGAGGGTAATAGTCTCACATAGTCCTCCAGTCCATTGAGGTACATTTAATCTGTTGTGTAAAAGGTCCTTTTTAAACGTTATGAAATAGCTTAGCATGGCATGCAGGGCCCTTCTTCTGCAGCTACCATTCTGTAACTACGCAGAGGTTTCACAGCCTCGCAGCCTTCCTGCAGCGCCCTTCCCTCTGCCCAAATCCTCCTGGCTCCTCCTTCAAGGCATGGTTGAAGTTTCCTTTCCTCAGGGAAGCTTTTGACCTTTTGTCTCTGAATTAGGTCCTTTTTCAGCCTCCCATGGTGACTTGGGCTTATTAATATGTCACTTACCACATTTTATGGTAATTTGTGTCTCAGCCTGGACCAATCTGTAGGGCAGGGACCTACGTTTATCCCCATGTCCTTTGTGTTCAGTTTACAGTCCAGCCATTAGTGTAGATTGGTAATCACAAGATTTGATTTTTTAAGGGGGAAACGGGTGTTGATAATGCCCAGCATTTTTGCAGCACTGTTCATTCAATTCCTCATAATAGTTTTATTACATATGTAATTAAAGGTGGACATTTCTTTTATTCTCCATTTTTCAAAATCAGGCAGAAAATCAGTTATTTGCACTTAATCCCCTGGTAGCAATTAGATTGAGGCTGGAACTGAGCTGGTGATAGGTGTGACAAATTTTGTAAACTGTGAAGCATTATACAGATGTTAGTGTTAGTTTCCCTGTGGGTCCTGCTTCATACTGGATCCCATGCTTTTTATTTCAGAGTAATTGACACAACTGTCCTCACCGTTGACAGCCTTTTCCCCTATAAAGAAAATAAAGTGTGCCAACAGTTCAATGCTGTGTTCTTCGTGTATTTGTGCTGATTTTCTTTTGCTGAAATGGCATGAAATTAAAATATTTAAACTTAACCTGGAAAGTATTTAATATGCTGATCTCACCTTATGTGTTAAGCATTGGGTTAACTTCTGGGTTTAAGGGTTAAGGGGATACATCTTTGAAAGTTGTTTCTTCCATTTGAAACATTTAGCTTTCAGCTACCCCCACCTGTTCCCACTTGCACTCAGGTTGTCTTTTTTTTGTTGTTGTTGTTAATTTTTAAGGGGACTCTGCACCACTGAGGAGCTTACTGCTCAATCCACACCTTAGACAGCTGATGGTCAGCCTCGATCAGGGGGATGACAAAGCAAAGCTCATGAGAGCTTATATGCAAGAGCCCTTGTTTGTGGAGTTTGCAGACTGCTGTTTAAGAATTGTGGAACCGTCCCAGAATGAGGATTCTTAAGATGGATTATTGTGCTGCTTGCCTCAAGCATGTGTTTGACTCCCAAAGCCTACGACCTCCTCCCAGGAGACCAGCTAGTTTGGAGAGGCCTTGCTGGGGCCCTCAGCACAGGAGGAGTTCAGGATGCCGACCAGCTGCTTGATGTAAGCTATGTGGGTCTTCACCTCCACCAACACGGACTCATGTTTCAGGCAGGTGGGAGTACTCAGAATGGCAAATCCTTTATGGAGAGAAAACTTGACATTCAGATGGTTGTTTTAAAATGTTTTATTTTGGGTACAGCTAAGATTGACATCATAAATGATATCATTTATCAAGTTTTTTACACCTGTTTGAGCTAAAAACTTGACTGATGTACTAAATAAAATCAAGATGTGGTGGTTCTATTGTATGTTTCATCATCCTTGGTTTATGATATTCTGGTTATTTGAAATTACATTAAATAAATTAACAACTTGTTAAATACTAAGGTTTCATTCCCTTTTTTTTTGGCTTTAAAAGAACAGACATTTATTTTCTCAGTTCTGGAGGCTAGAAGTCCAAATTCAGAGTATCAGCAGGGCTGTGCTGTCTCTTTACCATCTCTAGGGGAAGGTCCTTGTTTTTTTTCAGTTTCTGTAGCCCTGAGCATTTCTTGTCTTTCCTTTGCTGCGTATAGAAGCATCTGCCCCCATGATCCTATGCATGTTTTCCCCCTGTACATGACTCTATTTCCATGTCCCTCTTTTTTTGTGTTTCAACATTAATTTATTTGCTTCTCTCAGAATAAGAGCACTGGAAAGCATTTTAGAGAAAATGATTATAACAGGTCTTTTTTACAGTTCAAAAACCAGGACCAGACCCCACATGTTCTGACAGTTGAACCCCATGAGTAACAACACAGATGAAGTATAGTCTGTTTGGCTAATACGGCTGTTGAGAGAGAACCAACATCTTCATTAAGTTTCACTCCTGGCCGGCTACACGTTAAAGCCTTATTTTTCATCTCTATTCAGGATCATTCTGAGAGTACATCTAGAGGTCTTCACATCAGGAAGGTTGTCACCAATACTTTCTCACATGTCATGATCATACCAATCTTCCTCAGTAGTCAGGTGGGACTTCTCTCTTTTATAAGCATCCAGGAAAATTTGTGGTTTTTCATCAGTGACTCTTCCTACAATCTACGAAAAGCAGAGGACCCGTCTCTCCCCCTGCTCTGACTGTGTTGTCCTCACCCCACAGCTGATTCTTGCGTCCAGTGGAGGGCTAGGGACACCACTAACCCCCAGCCAGGGAATAAGCTCCATGCAAGTAAGAACCACCTTTCTTCTAAACTGTCTTATCACCATCATCTGGCCTCTTCAAAAGAGAACGAGTTTTCATCTGTATGTAACCATGTGTATATCTGTGTTGAACTTGGGAAAATCTTTACAGTGCTTCTGTGTGAATTCTGGCTTTTTTTTTTTTTAAAGGTTTTATTCCTTTTTAAGGAACTACATGCAAAATTTCCCCCAGCAAAAATTTTAGAGCCAATTTCAGGCTGACTTTGCCTGTTTTCTTGCAGAAATGCTTGTGGGGAGTGAGGGGTGCTCTGCTGTAGTGATGCACAGCACCCCAGGATGGACAGTTGTGTCCAGTGCTCAGTTTGACATATGGATGTAGTGAACATCTCCATGGCCCTGATGCTTCTTATTCCTGGTTTGGGAATCGCCCAACCCTGACCTGTCAGTGCCTGAGATGTAGGTTGGAGACCCAGGCCCACTAGTACGTTTGTCGCTGCAGCCTGGGCTCTGAGGCTGGAGCCAGCATGCTCTCATGTGCATTGCAGTCACTGTGGGAATAGTTTGGCAGCTGTGTGTTGATTAAACGTCTTTGGCAAGGCAGCTGGCAGGACAAGGCCTCAGAGAAACAAAGGCACCAAGGATCACCCAGCCAGGGGAGGGCAGAGGGCAGGAAGAGATCACACTTGGATCAGCCTGTGTCTTTCCAGCAGAATCTGATTAAAGCCAGTAACACTGTAGGGTGAAGGTTCGGGGCAGATGTCAGCATGGCGCAGTGGAGACTTTCTGCAGTGAAACTTTATTGAACCCTAGGGAAAGAGAGGTACAGCTAAGCTTACCCAGCTCCCAGGAGTGCCAGGGAGATGCCTCACGGGGTGAATGCTGAAAATGCAGTGAGGTGTGGACAAATCAGTGCTGGTACGAGTGTCTTGGCAATAGCAGGGTTGAGTCAATCAGCATTTTTTCCTCCTCATTCTGAAACAACGCGAAACTCCAGAGCAGTACTAAATTATAAAATTTCACATCCACTCGGTGTGAGACAGATGAGGACACACTAGGAGAGCTTTCCCTTACTAGATTTTATCCAGATTGCGACCTACAGAGATTCCTCTGGTGTGGAAATGCAATGTTTCCTTTCTACTGCCTTGTCGATTTCACTTAATCCTTGCTGTGACCCTGTGTAATAGGCTGAGAGTATTAACCCCATTTTATAGATCAAGAAATGGAGGTGCTAAGAAATGAGACATGACTTAGCCAAGGTTATCCAGTGAGTAGGGGCAGAGCCAGGACCTGGACCCTGGGGTTCTGTCTCTAGCATACACGCCTTTCACCTTTCCTCAGTCACTTCATATTTAATGGAAATGTGTGACATTGACTTCATGAGTGTGCTGGCTGATACATAAAAACATGGGGGCCTTGGACCACTCATTCACTCACTTGTCATTTCCTCAGCTGCGAAAGGAGGTAAACCAAGTAATAAAATTTGAGAACATGGTGCCAAATCCAGTGATATTTGAGGGAACAAGCCATCACTGTAATCCAGATTGTTTTCAAAGTGGACTGATTAAGATCAGAGGAGATGCTAGAACACTAGACGCAGTGTTAAAAACGTGAAGGGGCTCTGGAAAAGTCGTAGCTGTAATGATGGAAATAATCCAAACCTGCAGCCAGCTGGGATATGCAAGCTTCTGGTTTACCCAACAGCTCTTGTCACATCCTCAGTCCTGCTCCCCCTGTAGACTTCTAGGGTTTGCCTCCTGCCTTTTATGGTGGGGTGGGAGGGACCCAGAGATGTCAGGCAGGACAGGCCATCCCCTCACTCACAACCTACCTGAGGCAGTGCTCGTATGGATGTGACACCAGCCTGGTCATGTTGTGCAGTCTGGACAGTATAGCTGCTGGGCCTACCTGAGGGAAGCTGGAGGCAGGCCCAGACCACCAGTTTCCTCTGAAAGCCACGTACACCCATGGCTGCATTGGCCAGGACCAGTCCCAGGGGCCAGAGGCGGATTATTGCCCCCAGGAGCCTGGTCTGCACCAGAGGCAATGGAGTGGAGCTCAGGGAATGGGGATCTTGAGACCAGTGTTTTTCCTCCACACCATCCAGTTCTTTAGAAGCAAGGGAGGCCATTCTGATCTTAAGAAAGAAAACACCCCTTAAGGATACAATGTCAGTGCCTGGCCCTGTGCTTAAGTCTTTATACAAGCTACTTAAAAAAAAGAAGCTTTACTGAGGTAAAATTCACATACCATAACCACCCTTTAAACTGTATAATTCAATGATTTTTAGTATAATCCCAGACTTACCTAGGCCACTTTTTACCTTCACAACAACCCTGCAGTATAGGTGGTATCATCCTCATTTTATATACAAGGAACAGGGTTCAGAGAGATGGAGTAACTTGCCCAAGGCCACCCAGCTAGCTGTGGCAGAGCCAGCATTCTGAATTGGTCTGTCTCGTCCCAAAACACCCACCCCCTGCCCACCCTGACTTACTGAGTCAGATACTCACTCTCCACTTCTGCCATGTGCGCTTGATGATGGTGGCAGCTGTGTGCAGTCTCTGGATGTGCTTCCGAGTTAACCAGGAGCGAGTAGCTAAGTGTTTTGCCCAGAAACAGGAAAGAGATAACAAAATACTCATTAAGGTATTGTTATATGAGTTGGGGACCAACTCGATGGCAACTAACAACAACAACCTATAGGGCACCCTATTGACAGTGGTTTCTGCTGAGCTGTGGAGAGACGCTCTGGGCGAGGTGGACAGAGTATTCGAATCCTAGGGCACCACGGAGACATGCTATCCACCACTATCCACCTACTGAGGCTGGGATAGTGAGCTTCAGTATATGGGGACTGTCTTAGTTATCTAGTGCTGATATAACAGAAAGCGGATGGCTTTAACAAAGAGAAATTTATTCTCTCACAGTCTAGAAGGCTAGAAGTCTAGATTCAGGGTGCCAGCTCCAGGGAAAGGCTTTCTCTGTCTGTTGGCTCAGGGCTAAGGTCCTTGTCATCAATCTTCCCCTGGTCTAGAAACTTCTAAGCACAGGGACCCTGGGTCCAAAGGATGCGCTCTGCTCCTCTTGTTTATTGGTGGTATGAGGTACCCCCTGTCCCTCTGCTCGCTTCTCTCTTTTATATCTCAGAAGAGATTGGCTTAAGACACAACCTAATCTTGTAGATTGAGTCCTGCCTCATCAACATAACTGCCTCTAATCTTGCCTCATTGACATCATAGAGATAGGATTTACAACACATAAGAAAATCACATTAGATAACAAAATGGTGGACAATCACACAATATTGGGAACCATGGCCTAGCCAAGTTGACACACATTTTTGGGGGACACAATTCAATCCATAACAGGGACTCAATCAGCAAAATTTCAAAGGAAACCAGGATCACATGGGGTCTGTGTGCCATCACTGACATGCAGTGGATCCAGGGCCATCTGCTGGTCTGGAAGGAGCCTTGCCCCTCACCATCCCAACCCTCCTACCTGCCTGGATGAGCACAGCGGCCCGCCTCTGCCTCTCCTGCTTGCGGTGCATGTGTTGCCTCCAGCCATCCTGGATGCAGCGGGCACACTGCTCCAGCACCTGGGCACGCCCACATTCCAGAAGCTCCAGCTAGGAGAAGGGGTATCCAAAGAGGATCTGAGCCTCCCGCCCCGTCCTGCTGAGGAGAGCATGCAGCTGGCCTCTGTGATCTCTGCTCCTGATGCCCAAACGACTCACCGTGGAGTTGCTCATGAACACCTTGGTCCTGCCACAGTGCACTGGGGCTGGCCTGGCCTCAACTGGGTCACCAAGTGTGGCTGCTGCCCGAGTTAGAGCTGGCAGAGTGTGGAGAATGTCCCGGAGGAGAGGCTGCAGCGTGACCTCCTTGGCGTGAGGAGGCCCTTCTGGAGGGTGGGAGACAAGGGCTGCATCAATACTTGGCCATCTCTGCACGCTCCTGTGCGTCTCCCCCTTTCCTGGCCTTAAGAAGCTGGCTCTAGCCTCCTCAACACCCATGGACCTCTTTCCTGCTGTTCTTGCATTAATGATTTCTATTTTCTGTTTTCGAGGGGAAGGCCAGAGGCAATTTTTGATTGTCCTAGAAGCTCAGGGCCCTGGCTGTTCTGAGGCATCTTTGAATCCCCACTGAGGCTGTGCCATAAGCCTCTGTCCCCA